GGCCTTAATATTTCGAATAGGGTTTTTGGGGGAACTTTATGATTTAATCATCTCCCCCAAATAGCCCTAAACCCTAAACCCCAACTCCTAAGGCCCCTAAACCCCAAACCCTAAAACCCCAAGACCCCAAACCCTAAACCCCAAACCCCAAACCCACCCTAAGGTCCCCTTTTTAGTAGTCTTCGGAAGCTTTTCGGGCTTCGACATTATGCAGTTTCGGGCTCAGGGCTTCTGAGACTTTGGGTCTTTTTGAGGTTTAGGGTTTTGGGGTTTAGGGCTTTATGGTCTTAGGGTCTTTGGGGTTTAGGGTTTTGGGGTTTAGGGTTTTAGGGTTGAGGGTTTTAGGGTGTGGGGTTTTAGAGTTGAGGGTTTTAGGGCTTGTAGGGTTTATGGTTGTTTCGCCTCCTTCCTTACGCTTGTCTGGCTTCGAGGTTCACGGCCCTGAAAGCTTGTATAATATATATATATATAATTACATTATACCCCCCTTTGCCTATATAACACTATGTTAATACTGAAAGTATAAAAAGGAAAATGACAGAATAGAGTAGAATATCTCAGAATATGATAGAGTACCACAGAATGAAAGGTAACTTAATATAAGTGCAGGGCAAGCGGGGCAACAAGCCTAGCCCTGCTGGCGACGAGGCGCATTCGCCAGCGCTTCGCCCTCTCTGCCAGCGCTTCGCTGCGGCGCCCGCGGCGCGGGCGTCAGGGGCTGCAGGTGCCATGATGGAACTCAGGGCTTCAGATACCTGAATGATAGGCCGCTATACCGGGTAACATCATGTCTGGTTACTTGGAGGTTAATGGGTAGTTATAGGTGGGGTTATAAGTAGGGTAAGCATACTTATGACCCGTATTAGAGGACTTGTAACTCCACTTATTACTACCCATGAACCCCCAAGTAGCACCCTACTCTTAATCTGAGTCAGCCCTATCTAGGGGTTGGCCTGATGGGAGGAGCAGGGACTCTACAGAAACCTGCGCATCGTGTCCCGCCCAGACCTGCAGTGGATGCCTCTAGGATTCCAGACTTGCAATCCGACAGAGCTCCTAGACTCTTCCTTGACTTATAGATTCTGTGATCTGGTCTCCCACCTTTCTGCAGGTCAGTTTCAACCAAGCATGACCCTAAACCCCAAACCCTAAACCCTAAATCCTAAACCCCAAACCCTAAACCCTTTAAGTTCTGTAGATATTGGGACATCCCTCCTGTGGAGCTGGGAGGCAGAGGCGCGGCCGCCCCCGTCCGCTCGAAGCCAGGAGACAGGCACTGAAGAGCAAAGAAAAGCGCAAGCGTGCAGGTTGGGACGAGCCGTTCTTCCTCAAACCTCCAAAAGCCTAGAGTTAGGTAGGGTTTAGGGTTTAGGGCCTGTAGTGTAAAAGTTCAACAAAGCCCAAGGACCTGGAACCCTAAACCGTATTTTATCGTCTGCTTTCTACAGACAGCTCCTGGTCAGTATACGCATGTCAAGGCAGTCGCGGTGTTCTCGCACACTAGTGATCACCAGTCGCCGGTTAGTCGGCATCTGTCGAGGGAGGGTAGACCTTCTGGAAGGATCATGGGACTTACCAGATCTACTTCTGGCCAACTTCTATACTAGGACTGAGGCTGAAGTGGGTTCAACACACGGGCAGATGTAAGTGCTCCACCAGCACTTTGCTTTCGCATTGATCTGAGACGGAGGCTTAAGGCTGTGGTCCAGAGTGGCATGGCTGTAGGATATAGGGCTTCGAGGTTATGGGGCTTTCGGGTGATAGGATGCCTTAGGGTTTTGGACTTCCGGACTTGGGCTTGCAGGCTGGGTTCAGGTTCTGGGAAGTTGTTCTCCTCCCCCTACCCCCCCCTGGCCACGACCCCCTGACTGTGACCGTCTGTGCGCTCGGAGCTCCTTTGAACCGAAAGTGATGAAGCCTAGCTTGACCCGAGAAGACTGAGGTCTGTCCCAGGTCTGCAAGCGCTGTGCAGAGATGCAGGTGCATCTGCTCGGTTTTTTGCGGTATAAGATAGGTTTGGGGTTTCGGAATCTGGGGGTTTGGGGTTTTGGTGGTTTGGGGTCTATGCGTGTCAGGGTCTTCGGGTGCAAGATGTTGAAGGTTTGGCCCTACATCCTCTGATATCCCTTGAAAGATCGTGAAGGAACCGGCGAGGTTTTGCTCGAAAGTGCTTTGATTTTGGCTCAGGTACCCATATAACGCTGTTGTGCTGGCCGAAAATCCTAAGACCCAAACCCGAAAATCCAAAAACTCTCGAATCGTAGTAGGAGCTTCCTTACATACACAGATTTTGCAGTTGCCGAAGAAGCGACGTGGCGCCTGCACTGGCCTGCACCACGAATTGGATTTAATCCTTCCCCCAACGTTAAACGGAGGAGCGGGCCCCTCCTCCCCAACTACAAACTCGAAATGTGTGTTGTACTATTGGGTTTCCAATTGAATCTCTACTGTCATTTTTGGGCGACTCCTGCTTTGTCTCTGTGCAGCCCCTCTTGCTCCTGCTGTTGCTCCTGAAGCTCCCTGATTCAAAACAGTTGCTACAAAGCGGTGATAATTCCAGGGAGTTTTCCAGAAAGTGTTCAATCTTAGGGGGCGTTCAATCAATGGGGAAATCCTATACCTCAAGACCCTGGTGAAGTTATTTGGGTCCCCGAATCATTCACCCGACGCGTTGGGATATAATTAAACCCTATACCCGAAACCCTTGCCTTCGTCTCGGCCAGGTGGCAAATCCCTTGGACAAGTACAGCGTGTCCGGTCCTCATCGTTACCTCCTTCGAGTAGAAGCTGGGGTTAGGATTAGGACTAGAACTAGCACTGGGTCTACCAGCATCAAGGCATAGGAGCAGAAGTTATCACATGTTAGTGCTTCCATGACTGCAACTGAACATACTGGCTATGCTAGGTCAGCCCTGCAACAGCATCTCCGTGACTCAGAGCCAGAAAGTTGGAATGGCTTTAAGTTGTGATGTTGGTGGTAAGGATTGACACAGAATCTACTTCTCGCGGAATATCGACTCTGTACTAGGCTCTCTATGTACCGGCACGGACATGCAAGTTGCAGTTTCTATTGTAGGTTTCTTCTACTCCAACTTGCTGAGCCGCAGGCATCGGAGCAGAGGTCAGAGGCACCTACCCCTCAACTGCAGCCACGAACTCATCCCAGAACCTAACTGGAGGGTGGCCTGGCTTGACCGGCGTGCAACTTCTGTGCGACATGTCTGGCTGATGCGTGTGTTCGATGAGTTGGTTGCTGCGGAGCATGTCTTTGCCCCTAGGCCCCATAGTAGTTCCTTTTTGGGATTACCCTATAGGATTTTATATATGAACCCCAGAAAGGAACTACTATGGGGCCTATGGGTAGGCCTATGAATGTGGTCGGGCCGTCCTGGAGATGCAGATACATCACATCTCAAGGACCTGTGGAGTTCAATGCTGAAGCGCCTAGACCTCGCAAACTCAGTGCTTCTCCACACGAGGTCCCACAAGGAGCGCCACGAGTTTTCTAAGGACCTTTCAAAGGATTCTAGCCCAGAGAACTCCCCAAATCAAACTAAAAGCTGTCGAAGTAAGGTTGGTCAGGCTGATGTCAGCCAATGTCAGGTGCAAAAGGTCAGCCTATCCATGTCTGGATACTCCACAGCTGAATGGACGGTGTGCACCGCCCCAAACCCTAAACTCTAAACCCTAAACCCTAAACCCTAAAACCCTAAACTCTAAACCCTGTATGAACACCAGGCCCGAAGCGCTAACCCCCCCAACCCCAGGCCTTCACCCTATCTCCCTGATCCTAAAGCCCAGAACCCTGCAAACCCCAGCTTCAGGGTTTAGGGTTTTGGGGTTTAGGGTTTAGGGTCTAAGCCCTGAAGCCTAAACCCTAAAACCCTAAAGCCCTAAAACCCTAAACCCTAAAAACCCTGAACCTGTCCGAGGTCTACTCTTGAGTTCAACAAGACCCTTGCCCAGTACGAGGCCTCCTTGTGGGCGGTTAATATAGGGGCCCAAATAATTACTTATATCATTTTTTGGGTTCCTTTAGTAGAATTATAGTATAATATACCCCAAAACCTTATTCTGATTTTTAATGCCCGTACATTTACCTTTTTAGGGGTCTCTGATATTCAGGCTTTCAGGCTAGGCTCCTGTAAAGTCTGACGTGTCAAAACCGCCGCAATTCGCGGTTTTAGGTTTGGGGTTCAGTTGTTTTCCTGGTCGATGTTTAAGCCGCAGGGTTCAACGTTGAGATTTGAGGGCTCAGTTCGAAATCGAAACTTGGGGGAGGCTCCCTGCACCATAACTCATCACTTACAGTCCCACACCCAGAAGCCCATACAACCCTAGACCGGAAGTCCGACAGATTTTTCTGAAGCCACAATCCCCAAAAGCAAAGCCGTATCCCGGGTAGTGCCTCAGCCTCACTCTTAAATCGCGGATCCCGGAATCCTAAACCCCAAACCCCGAAGATCTGAAAAATCCCCCTGCCTCCTGTGACCCCGAAGCCCAGAAAACCCCCGAATCGTGCACAAGTCGCAACCTCATCTCAAACTGAAGCCCGCGATCCCCCCAAAGAGTGCAGCATCCTTTTTGCTGAAGTCCCCCAAAGCTCCACAACTCCAAAGTCGTCAAGAGCCCCTACACCCTAAACCCTAAAACCCAAGAGTCCTCAACCAGCTAGAGTCTGACTAGAGCCCCTAATATAGGGGTCTTAATAATTACCTTTTTTAGTTTGGGGGTTCATTGCTATAATTATAGTATGAAGGGCCCAAAACCCGATTCTAATTATGGAAGGGCCCCGATGTTGGAGCTTAGATCCCCTAGATTCAGCTCATCAGGACCCAACAGATCCTCCAAAACGACAGCCCGAAACCCTGGACCCTACCGTACCCTCAACCTTGAACCTTCCTTCAACCCTATAGATAAAAAAACCTGTAGAAACTTCCCTAACAACTGCCTCCTTTTTAACATCCGAAGACTTCAAAGCTTCAGCTCAAGGAGGATGCCGCTGTGCAGAGTGCTATTGCCGCCCTGATGGGTGCCCCTCCGGGTGGTGCTGCGGCTGTGACCGAGGCAAACCCTCGTGATATAGGGGCCTTAGTAATTAGA